CCCCCCCCCCCCACTTCCAATCCCAGCGCCCGGAACCCGCAGACAAAGCTCCCCCCCCACTGTCACCCCATCTGCAGCATCCAGCGTTCCATGCCGTAATAGGGTAAGGACACCCGAAAGGGTAAGGACAGCCGAGCTGATTTTTAGTTTCTACCCACACCGATAAGCTCTCGAGAATATGCGTTTTTGCTGCGAAGTGCTATAGCGATGCTACAGTGAGCAAAAACGCATATTGTCGAGAGGTCGCCCGTATATGTATGAGTGTGATGTATTTTTTCAGAAGCTAGTGGACTTTGTTACCCACTTCCAACTCAGCAACTAAGAAAGCTGGGAGGCTGAAATTTTGAGGCATATTCCCACCCAATGTGTCAGTTTTCCGTTTTAAAATCATTGCTCATAAATCTCGCATACGGGACTTCGAAAAAAATGTGCAAAATTTCTTTACGAGAAACGATTTCGTGAGCAAGACGAAACAGATGACTCCAACTTTGCAGGAATATTATCTGTGCATATATGAGTTAAAGATTTCAAATTGAGCTATCACGCACACTTGCGCTACGCGTACGGCCACGTCAAAGTTTGCAGCTAGATTGTGCCAATTCGAAAACTAGCCGAAAAATAACAATTCAGACTTGTCAGAATATTTATCGCTTCGATTTGCACTTGCACCACGATTAAGGGCACTTCAAAGATAATTGTAAGGAAGTGGCTATTTCGCCTACCAGGCAAACTGCGAAGCTGAAACTTTGCGAAGGTACTCTATATTCACGTGTGATCTTAATTCAGCTTAAAGGTGAAATTCCCTGTATGCGGATACGGCAAATACTCAATTTTATCACAAACTCAAAAGCGAGTGCATTTTGCAGATTTAATAATCCTCTTCCAACTTCCCTCGAATTTGCATTTCTTCAATGAACGACCGTTCACCGGAAAAACGACCAGGCTTCAAGCAAGAAACTGATAATCAAGCACAGTGAGGTCTGTACGGCCTCACAATGCAACACTTTCATTCTAGTCGGCGCCATTTCCTCTGCATGTGGGAAAAGGCTAAGACACAGCCAATGTGAGTGTGTTGAACCACAGCAGAGGGGCCATTTTCGCTGTTAACGACCAGCAAATTTAGCGCAAAAACGTATGATCGCAACGGCAAGCCTGGTGCATTGTAGCCTAGGTTGTATTTGTATAAATAGTTCCGAATTGACCAAAAACAATCAATAATCGCTGTCTTAAATGATTATTCTCAACCAGCTGATGACATTTCGACTAATTCTGGATGCTTTTTCGTTAGCTCGGGGAAGAAACACACCTGAATGTCGCAGTGACATTCGCCTGGTGGCAAGCAACATTCGCCCGGTGCTGGTCGCGCTGTTACCAGCCGAGAATCTTCGGGACACTTATGCAAGTAGACCATCTCGCATTTCGCTTTCAGACAATTCTCCGGCCACATTGCTATAACGAAAATTTAACAGTTAGCGAATTTTATTGGATATTTTTCATATTCATATGGCGTTGCTGCATTGAATTTTTGAATTTGGCTTCTACGAGTAATAACACACAGTTTCCCGGAATTTCAATAATATGGGTTAATCATACATCTATACATACTAATCCCGTATATATTATATACAGCGTGCAAAGGACGCATATTTAACAAGTAATTAAGTAGCACCTCCCTGTTTGGCGTATGCCTTATTCATAGGGGTGCTGTTCGCCTACTTTCGAATCAGAATGAACAACAGCCCTAGGGTACGAATGACGCTTGCAGACACAGTCTAAGAAGCGAGCTGAAAGTAGTCTGGATGCCCGAATAAGGTCAGCAATCAGGCCAGTACCATTTTTCAGCAGCAAAACGGGTGACCAGAAGGGGTTTGTAGTGAGCAATTCGCAGACCACCGTTGTAGCAGATCTTTTTTAGCCAGAAAATACTGCTTAAGTAGGTTGCGATTAGAGTGAAAAATAAGCACTTGAATAAACAGAGACTTAAATGCCATAAGCAGTATTTGTTCTTGCGCTTAGCGCGAAACAAAGATAGTAAATTGTCAGTGCAGACTGCATGGTCGACACGTCCCCCGAAGCAAAGTCCATCTTCGTCACCCTTTTGAACTTTCCATTATCATACTCGACCTATATGAATTAAAATGACGACGACCAGTGAAGAAATGCTAAGTAAGCGTTATCTGATAGTTCAAGGCCTCACTGGAAAGTATCATTCGTGTAGATTTTGCACTGATGTACACAAGATGATCGACGTCAGTCACAATCATATACTTCAGCCGCAGGATGTTCTAGATACATTGCAAAACGATGTGCCAGTAAATACATAAGGCGATTGTATTGTACGATGTCATTTTGCTAAGCTAATGGCTATAAACAAAAATCTAGGCTGTAACGCACCAGGCTCTCCGGTGCGATCATGCGTTTTTGCACTAAACTCGCAGATCGCTATCAGCAGGAATGATCCCTACGTTGTAGTCTAACACTTGGGCTCATATTGGCCGTGCTTTGGCCCCTTCTGGCATGCAGGAGGAAGGGCGTCAGTTGGGATGAAGGTGATGCATTATACAGCTGCACGGACGTCCAGGTGCATGATTACCGGTTTTTAGCA